ATATATATATATATATAAATATAATTTCCCTTTTTTTATTTAATTTTGTCGCCCATGCTTGAATTCACATAAAATATTGAATGCATTTCTGCGTAACGCACACGGACGAACGGAAATTTGGCTAACTATACCGTGCCAAAATAATTTCGGTCATATTCCACGTTCATTTGTACACATAAATCATTATGGTTATATAATTACGATTTTGGCTAACTCCCGAACTTTAGATACAATCAATCTTTTTATAATTCAAATGTGGACTTCTTCACTAGAACAATAATACTTTCAAATAGTAGATTTTGCTCTAATAAGATTTTATTGACATACATTTATAACAAATGTTATATTGTTCCGTAAGAAAAATTGTAGTTACGGTAATATTAAAAATCTGTTCACGCTATCGTTGAAAAAAGTCGAAAACGACCAAAGCCTGCCGTGTATATATTTTAATAAAGTTGGCAACATGCGATGTCTCGTTTTTTACAGCGAAAAACGCGATTTAAAATAACGGCAATGTAAATAAAACTTTACATCATAAAATACGGAACATAAAATATCACCAGTATCAATAGTATATAAAATACTCCATTATATGACATTTAATAAAATATCATATTTAAATTATACGCTCACTCGTGTGTCCTTGCGTTACGGATCTTTGAGGTCTTTTTTAAAAATCAACGAGCACTCTTTATTTCTCGGACAACGGGCGAAATGCCAGTGTCACCTCACGAGGAAAATGAATATTAATATAAGCACTTCGTGGTCGACCGTACGATTTTCTCGACGAGGCAACGAATAATATAATAGCTGGTCCGCGGGAGATGCGTCTGCGACCGAGAGGGCGAAGCACCCGAAGACGAAGTGTTCTCATTATACCCGGTGATTTATGTGCGTGCCACCTTGCCGTCGGAAGAGATTCTAGGTTAGAAATAAAGTTAAAAGAAAAATAAGGCTTACGGGGTGCAAAGTCGAGAAAGTGTGGAGGGGGGAGCCGCGGCTCGCGGAATATATTACAAAAATAAGCTCGCTGGCGAGCGGCGAGACGCGGCGCGGCGTGCGGAAAAGCGCCGAAAAAACTTTGAAACTCTGGAGGAGCCTTGAAAGATCGATGCCCCTCGACCTGCCCTGCCGTGTAACTTTTCTTGTTTATCGAGGCGCGAGAAATAAAAATCCGGCGGTCACGATTCGCGTAACCATGCAAATAACTTCGCGTATTTCGTGAACAATTTTTGCAGTTCATTGCTAACAAAATTTTTTTAAGGAAAGAATAGAGAAGGAAACAACTTTGAATTGAGCCGTATCTTGAAGACAGATCGAATGTGACTAATTAATTAGCATTTCTTGCGATGGTAACATGTCAGCTATTTTTTGCTCATTTGCGGTTCTTTCAGAGTTAATATATCAGATTCTTATCAAAGGAAAAGAAATAAAGAGTAAAAAAACGATGAACAGTTTCTAACAGTTTAATTAACGCTAATTTTGTTCGTTTAAGCTCTTTATTTATTTACTCGCATTGCGTGTATCTCTTTGTATTTGTTATATAATGTTTTATATAAAATAAATGGCTGAATACAACATGACTCAACATTACTCTCATTTCACGAATATATATGTTTATTTGAATTTTTATATCGCTCATAAATATATATATATATATATACAGAAATATCTGTTTTTACTGTCCTGCTGTTGTTCGTTGCAATGTACTGTTATGTATAATAATTGTAATATTGATTTGTTTTAGGGACACATTGGTGAAAATCCGTTTGATAACGGTTCGTGGGGAAAGGAGCATTTTCAGCCATCGACAGTTCCCTGGCAGCTGAATCCGCGCAGTCACGGACGTCCTAGTGTGAGTGTCTTTATTCTTTTTTACCTCATCTAACTTATTGCGCCAACAGTATCGATTTTAGACAATATTTTTATATTAAACAGTAAAAATAAATTTAATTTACAATTCTACTAAAACTACTACTGCTGACAAAACACGAATTTTTCGTATAAAACAAAAACTTATCTTAGACTTATTTTTTTCACCTCAATCGGTTGCATATTTGGCGTAATGCGATTTAGAGATTATCGGCCGTAATTCTCAGCGAGGGTAGATGCGTCAAATTTATAATACTGACGGGTAAGAGTACTCGCATCGAGGATGTGGAAGGAAGGATGGAACGGGAAAAGAAATCCGGTGGCTCATTGTGTCGGCAGGTAGCAAAAATGCTGGCGAGGTCGCCGCTTTCTCGAGCGTTTTCTCTCAGGAGTTGGTTACTACTATATCGTCATACCCCTCCTCGGGAGCCTCCACCCTTCGGTCGGACCGTAGCCGACCACCCTCTTACGCTCGCGCTCACTCTCCCGCACCACTCGTCCTGTCACCCGGTATTTATAATACGCTTTGTTTTCCCTCAGCTATTTGTCTTGGGTTCTCGGCTCCTTCGCTAACATTATTATCCCGCGTTTTATTTTTATTTAATTCCGCCGTGTCGAGTCTTCCCTCCCCCCCCCTCTCCCTCCCATCGTGTCCCCGTTATTTATCCTTCGTAGAACTTAACGAGCGACTTAACGTGTCGTTGAATCAGAACAGTTCTTTACGTTCAATTATTCACCCGGCATTCTAATTCTCTTTGTGCGAGATGCATTGTCCTGTTGTATATAAAAAAATCTAGAATCGCGTTTAGGGTTAGATTATCATTAAAGATTATATTATATTATAGGTTTCATAAGAGTACGTGTCTTATAACGAATATTTCTTGCGTATATGAAGTTTCACGTGTCATTGTGTATGACTCACAAAGCTCGCGGTAATCTTCATTCGAGATCTAAACTGTTTGATGATGTGCCAATATTCGCGTCATAATACGTGCAGATCGTAGCAATTATTTTAATGTCTGTTAATTTGCTTATTGCCTGTCCTCTATCAATCACGTGCGCGAGCCTTCTTTTTAGAATATAAATTGCACAAGATTATTTGTTATTCAATACTGACTTTTATATGATCTATTATACGCGCATTGCTGTTATCATAAATAAAGATTTATATACTTTTGTAGCATGCATTAAATGAAAAAAATTAATGTGCACATACATTTTTTTTCTGTGCATTGATCTTATTAAGCTTACATTTAAAACATTCGAAAAGTATTGTTTATTTATGTTAGATGTAAATTTTTTTGAATAATGTGTGTATGAGAATTAATTTTCTTAACTTATTATAACATATCTAATAGTTTATATTATATGTAAAAGTATTTAGTGTAATAAGAACCCATTTAAAATTTGAAGTCATTGATATAAACAGCAAGAAAATAATAAAACACAAAATATCTGAAAAGTATTGCTATTTATTTACTGTAGATTTTCCGAATAATGTGAATATGATTTTCTTAATTTATTATAACATAATATTTTCGCTGCAAAAGTGTTTGGTGCAATAAGAATTCAGTTAAATAAAATTTATATAATATAATACAATAAAACACAAAATATCTGGAAAATGTTATTTATTCCAACTTTGATTTTTGAATAATGTATATGTGAGAACTATATTTAAAAATTTATTATAACATAATATTTTGGACGTAAGTGTTTAATACTTTTAGAATGCGAAGTCAAATTTATGTAATCGGAAATCAAGAGAATATATTAATCTGATATTATGGACGATATGTGGAAAAATCCAATAAGCCACGAATATCTGTGATTCCTAGTAATAGTTGTACTTCAACGAATGACACATTTTGTTGTTTACTTAAGGAGAATTAAACGCTCGCGACTGTCACGCGCACGTGTGCAATCGACGCTTGTCTTCCTGATACCATCGTATCGGGCGCGATCGTTTGCAAAGTAACAAAAGCAACCGAAACCACTGACGTCAGCGTTTCCGCGAGCGTATATACGCGAACGATGATCTCATGCGTACATATATGTATGTATGTGTGCGCTTACCTAACCACGGCGCAGTTCCTTTTACGTCGCTCGTATGTGTAGTCGTACGCACGAATTGCGCTATCGCATATATGTCTACGTGACAACGCTACGATGCGCTCACAACGGTACGCTCGCTTGCTGTAACCACGTATGCATTTGTCAGCATCTCGAGTAATACGCAGTGATATATGTATCACCTCTACCAGTTTTCTTTCTTTCTTAGTGCGCGCGGGCTCGCGCATTTGCCAATCTTATCAGCTTAACATCAAATCTTGCATGAGACTTTCGCGCTGCGAGGCACAAAGTGTTCCGCTTTTGATTTCAGATTGCACAATGGAGATTTGCAAGAATTAAAAGAATAGACGTCAAAGAAAGGATATTCACAACGTTTTAATGTGAATTATTTTCGTTTCACCAGGAATACATTTTTATTCGTTTTTAAATTGTCAACGTTGGTCAAGATCAAAGGCCAAAGTGTTGCGAATTTAGAAAAGATATCATATAGAGAATGGAGTAAATACTACACTTATATATATATATATATTAGAAATTTTATAACAATTACGATGTTTTGTTCTCAGTAACATATATATATTAATAATTATGTATTTAAAATAATAAAGAGACGAAAAAAATTTTTAAAGAAATTTTTAACTTGAATGTTGTTACAGATGTAACAGATACAGACTGTATATTTATTTCCTGATTTCATCATTGATTTATGCATTAGAACAAATTAAATTATATTAGCATCTCTCTTCAATTCTGTCAGTCTCTCTTCAATATTTTAGAGAAAACTATGATTCGAGCTATAAATGACAATAGGAATGCACCGTTTATTCTTATATTACGTTATACATTTATTCTTATATTACGTTTATAGATACCATGGAAAAATAGTGAAATTTATAAATGGTACGGTAGAGTAGAGAGAAGAGCGGTGTTTCAAGCAGAATAAACAGCGGTCTCTTCTAAACTACGCTATAATACATTTTCTTAATAGTAATAATTTCTTGATAATAATTAAAGTTTTCAGTAATTTTGCGTTATGATATTTTGCCCTTCGCGAATTTGCATAATCGGCCCGCGAAGCTTACTGTGCCGAGCGAGTATTCGCGTCTCAATACAGCCAAAATTTCCGGCGGAAGAACGTTGATTCTCTCACACCATCCCCATAATCTCGGGCCACGCCTGTAGTAATATGAATCGCAGCAAAAATCAGAACGGGGGTGGCTCTTAGAGCGTCCCCGCGGCAGCCCCTGGGTTTTAAGATATGCAGAGCACAACGCACGCTTTCCTAGCGAGACTATTTTAATACGAATGAGGATGGGAGGATCAGACGAGAAGCGCGATGGTATGGCGGCCGGCTCGGAAGATCTACTTCTTGATTACAGAACTTTTTACCTAATTACATAACATTGTTACCATTTACAAAGTCGCGTCGAGTCTGCGTCGGCTGACTACTAATTAGAATCCTCGATTAGCACCCGCGGCGACATCGTATTCCATTTCGATAAGTCTCGCGACATTTTACCGGTTTTCATAATAAAAGGGTTGCAAGAGACTGCGTGATAGGGTGATTTTTAATGTTGCTGCGCAAATGCTAATAATATATAATTGAATGCGTCATGGTTAGAGTATATAATGTTTCTTTGTAAGACAAATAAAGATGCAAGATAGTGAACATTATTTCGGATAAGTTTGACAAGTTTGACAGAATTATATCAGTCGTGTGCAACTTATTTGAAATAATTTATATTGCAATTATTTAATTTATAATCTTTCGCACAATTTTCGATTAGATATTCTTGTAACGAATCTTTTCAACTGTATCCCGCCAGTGAAACGTTTATTTTTACAAGAAAGTGGAGTCGCAAACTATGTATATGTGACACATGACTGACGAACTACTTTGGGCGATAAAAATTTGAATCTCATTTTTCAGACGTTCGCAAATAATTAGATATACCGAATCGTGCCAGACTAGCGCGTTGGAATTCGCGATATCAAAGGTTCAGAAAGAGTCGAATTTATCCCCGAGACTTAAGGTTCTTATCGGAAAGATGTAAGGGTCGTAGAGATAGTCATGCACGAGGGACGAGCTCCCGACGATGCAGACATTAAGACGTCTGGTCCTCGACCTCCAGCTTTTCGCCCCGCGCCAACCCCTTAGCGAGCGCGACCCCCTTTAGACGACGGGAGGTTTACCCCGTCTTCATTGTCCTCTAATTCTCATCTGATCCTCACATTACGTAATTTTCTCTTTATTATTTTATAATTCCCGGGTCTCGAGCCCCGGGCCCGCGTTCATCCGACTTCAGGTCCGCACGAACTCATCCCCCGCAACGCATACTAATGCACCCTGCATTTATTAATTATTCCGTGCTAGTTACCTCAGCTTCTCGTCTCGCCGTCGCAATGATAGATTAAACCACCTAGATTCGGTGGCTCGCGATGCGAATCCTGCTCGTCACCGTGATGATACGTGCTTGGAAATTTTTTCCTTTCGCGAATCGATAGAAATTACATAGTATATACGCTTCTTTTCAGTCATGCGCGACTATCCCTGTTACGTATTACAAATAATAAAACGATGTAGATTCTATCGAACATTGTTAATTGTTTTTCTTAAAATTAGAAAATGATACATATATTTACAATTTTGTTATTATGTTTTGAAATTTTTCTAATATTATATTAATCGTGAAATTATGAAGAACATATTACTCATTTGCTATATAATGAAGACACAACAAAAATGTTTTCACAACAAACAAATACATTCAAAAAATGGCTATTTTATAGAAAAATAACAAAAGTAATGAGTTTTTAAGAGTTTTTAAGTTTTTAAGAAGTGTAAAAATCTGCAAAAAAATTTTTTCAGATTTTTAAACTTTATTTTTCTATTTTAAAGTAGGGAAACTT